GTGGAAAGAACTAGAGTGAACAACAGTGTGCTACTCCTGATAGGAGATGACATGGAGATCTAACATGCTTCAGCATTCTGTTTTAATCATGCACCATAAGTTAATTAAGAAGTAGTAGAAACACAACCAAAAAACTTTACTGAGACAAAACCAAGACAACTTTCTTAGGAGTGCTGGCTACAAAATGCAAAGGAAGTTCATGTGCAAGATTTTTTTATTTTGATTCTGACTGTACATTCTGTGAAGAAACAAGATTGCATCAAAAAAATACTTGATTTCACCAGTCACTGCTCCTAGCATAAATAAACTGCCCACGAGTCTTCAAATATTGATTTCCTACTTAGATTAAAAGAGCTAACATTATGCAATTTTCTTGCTGAAACAGGAATGAGGTGAGAAACTGTTGACTATGTCAGAGGTTTCATCTCACTGTAGATGAAAAACAGAGATCTAGAGCTTGGCTTTAGTCTTTCTTCAGCAGAACTTTCTCTTGCTTCTTTTTGACCTGGTGATAAATGTGAGAAGTAGAGGTGGTACAGAGCAATGACATTGCCTGGGAAGTTCTGTTATGCTGACAACACTTCACACAAATCATTGCTGTTTTTAGCTACCAGGAAGAGACAAAGCAGTTGCAATGAGGGAAAAAAAAAAAAAAAAAAAAAAAAAAAAAAAAAAAAAAAAAAAAAAAAAAAAAAAAAAAAAAAAAAGCCCTTTCATTTATATTTGGTTTTAAAGATAGTGTGACATACTGTTATGTAAAGATAGTTTTTATTTTGGGTTGTAGGCTCCTAAAATATTTGCAGAGTAGTTTCAGCCCTTTTCTAATGACTGTAAGCTTCCTGACAACAGGTTTGCTTTTCTTAGCTACCTTTTTGGAAAGCTTTGGAAGTATTCTGCTTATCCTCAGGGTATTGCTGGTCAACCCTACTCAATGTTTATTTACAGAGAGCAAATAAATCTGATTTCCTTTCAGCAGAGGATGTTTGAAAGTTTTCGAAGAACTTGTTTAAAAGTAACTATCTCTTATGACAAAGAAAAGGGCATCTGCTACATCCAACTTTGCTGAAATGATCAGTTTGACTTAGTTGTTTACCCTTTTGAAGCAAATGAAATTCCTAAGTTCTTTGTTGGACTCTTAGATTGTATCAACCTACAAATCAGGCTCCTTGTAACTACTTTTACCTGATATAAGGTACCTTGCTGTGTTTAACCCATCAGGTGCCTGAGCACCACAGTCATTCTCTCATTCCCCCTTTCCAGTGGGATGGAAGGAGAACTGGGGGGAAAAAATGTAGAACTTGTGGGTTGAGATGAAACTACTTATTAAGATAGAGAGAAGGAAAAGTTGCTGGGCTTTGACCATTTACGACAATCTGACCCACAGCTGCATCAGAATGCCATCCTTTCTCACAACCACCTACAAGAAAGAGCAGTTCTCTGCTGGGTTATCTAAATATCCAGCCCACTGCAGAGGCAGGCATGTATCTCTGTGAGTAGGAAAGGCTCTTTGTCATCCTGCTTCAGGGACAGCTGCTAGCCCAGTCCTAATAAAACTGTCATCAGGCCCTTCAGGCACAGGAAAAGGTCAGAGGGAGAGGAATGTGGAGGACATACCTCCTGTTTAACAGGACCACTGAGGGAGTTAAAAAAGGCAGGAGCAGCAGGGAGAGAGTACTAGGATCAAAGGGATTTAAGGGATGGATGCTTTCTTGAGCATGGGAGACAATGGCACTGAGCCTGAATGTCACTCAGCAGTGCTCTGCTTGACAACATGAGAGGATACCAGGAATCCCCACTGACCTTCTCCCTGTGGCACACAAGCCTGGCTTGCCCAGGGCCAAGTTGAGCTTTTAGAGGTCCCATGCCTGCTGAGGTCTCCTTTTGGCAGAGCATGAAGAAAGTGCTGCAGTCAGCAGGAAGGCACAGCCCAGAGTGCTTGAAATTGATGTGGGAGCAAGAACATGCCATCTGACATGCAGAGATGGAAGCCCCAGCTTGAATCTGGTTGAAACACTGTGACACTGCACCTGGAGAGCACTAGGCCTGTCATCCCAGAGGGGAGATCGACAGTGCAGCAGTGCAAGAAACGTGGTGCGCATCTGCAGAACAAGGAGTGGCATGAAAAGGGTACAGAGAGAATGATAGTTCATGGTTAATTAGCATAAAAGTCAAGGGATATCAAGTGGAAAGGCTCTGAGCACACTGGTCGAGTTGTAGATGTCCCTGTTCACTGCAGAATAGTCAGACTAGACGACCTTTAAGGGTCCCTGTCAACTCAAACGATTTTGTGATTATCCTATGATGAAATACCACGCAGAAGGCTTGAAACATACAGAGGTGGTTTTCACAGAACTTGAACTTAAACTGTGGGACTACATCAGGCTGTGGGTGTCAGAAGCTTGTAGAGACTAAGAAAGCAATTGGGTTTTTCTTCCACTAAGTTGTCTAAGTTGTCAAGGGCAGGGATAAATTACTTTTAGCTACAAATGACTGAGCTGCGGACTTCATTTCCTTCCTGAGAGGTTACTGGCCACTGCTGGGAGCAGCAACTGCACAGTGTGGTCCTGGTTCTGACCTAGCACAGCCATCCTGGGGCTTTCAGCACGTACAGACAAAACATGCTTCTCTGCCCGCCATGCTTCCTACCTACCTTCATTAACTCAAAACTTAAGCGGACAGGAGGTGTAAACAGTTCTCTTAGCCATTCACACGCTATGAAAAAGAACTGGAGAACAGGCTAATGCATCTGTTTTAGTTGGCAGAAAGAAAAAAGAAAGTTTGTAGCAAGTCTGTAAGATTGTTTGCCTGACCTTTCCTTCATACAGAAAGGTTAGATCAAAAAATATTTAGTCTGCACAGAGCACATCTGTCCTGAGGCGTCTTGCACAACCCTTCATTAGCGATGACCTGACAGTAAACTAAACAATGAGGTTTGAAACAAATTGCAACAAAGTGAGAGCAGTGATGCACTGCCCTAAAAATCCTGCGGCCCAGGCAAAGCAAAGCCCACAGTCACACTGCTCAGCCTCCACGCAAGGAAGTGATGCACCCTTTGCTTCTCTAAGAACCACCAAACCAACACCCACACTGCACATTCCGCTGCTGCCAGGTGCTGTCTTTTATAGAACAACCACTTGTTACCAAACACAGCCACTGCCAGCTTTTCCATCTCTCACACATCCCGTCCCACTCCATATGGGGTGAGGGAGGACCGTGCCGGCCTTCTGATGAGAGCACGACATGTTTTCCCTTCTTAACACGTCGAGATGCGGCTCTGTCTCCTTGACAGCAATATTCTGCGTCTGGAAGCAGCAGACGCACGGCCACCGGGCAAACTTTTGCGTGAATCACGGGGATATTTATGGCCTCCGGCTCGGTGAACCGCGCCGTGAGTAATCCCAGCCGCTCCGTCAGCGCCGCGGCGAAACCCTTTTCTCGCACTGAGAAGTGCCCGCGGGGCCCCCGGCTCAGCCCGTTGGTACCGAAGCCCCGACCTCCGGCGCGGTGAAGGTCCCGGGCAGCGGCGCTCCGCCCCGGCCTCGCAGCAGCGGGGGCCCCGACCCGCGCCCGCCCCCTGCCTCCGGGCGGCGCATCAGCAAGGAGGAGGGCTGGCTGCACGGCGGCGCGGGGGCTCGCTCCTCCTCCTCCCGCTTCCCCTCAGCCAGCCTTCTCCCCTCCCTCCCGCCCTCAGCCATTTTAGAGCCGCGCTCTCCGCTAGCAGCGCGGGGCCGAAGCCGGGTGGGCTGAGCTGAGCCGAGGTGAGCGCGCGCGCGGCGCAGCGTAACGGCCGGCGGGGCCGAGGTGGGGCGGCTCCGCTGCCCGCTCCCTGCCTGCCGCCCGGGGGACGAGGTGAGGGGCTGCGGGCTGGCGGCTGGGCGCGGGGCGCGGGGCGGGGTGGGACCGCAGCCCTGCCCGGCTGGGCGGGTCGGATCGGCTGAGGGGAAGCGGGGTTACGCGGGGTCACGCGGGGTCAGGGCGGCAGCTGCGGATGGAAGAGCGGGCGGCGGCCCTTCGCAGCGCCGTGTCCCTGCCCGCCCTGCGGGGCTCTCCTGGACGTGCCGGGGCTGCGGGCCCGCCTGAGGCCGCCGGCAGCGTTATCTCCTCCCTCGCCCCCCCTTGTCGATGCAGAAAAGGGGCCGGCTCAGGATGTGGTCTGATGCTGATGTAGCACGCGCAGCAGCTCGGGCAAACGTGATTCGTGGCTGCGAGCCGCGCGTTCTGTATCATGGCATGGGAGCATCTGCGAAAGGACGGCGAGGAGGCGGCTGAGGGCTTCTGTTCCCTCGTTCTGTCACTGCTCGGGGCTGAGCCCTGCCTTAGGTGAGGGTGTGCAGCAGCCTGGTGTGCGTTAGGAAATGTGCGAGGAGCCTGATGGCTGCAAACGCTGATCGCCAGGCTAAAGATATTGTCTTGTTATCGCTTTGATTGCTTTCTTCTTCCTTCTGGACTGTTAGAGCATAAGAAATGCAAGCGTGGTGTGCTTTGTCAATCAATATTAAAGGCAAACTTGTATTTATAGCCTTGTCAATTCCCAGTGCAAAAGGTGACACACAAAGCTGCAATGAGCAATAAGAAACATATGACTCTATGATATTTTGGGTTCTGTACCTGGGATGTTAGGATTTGCCATCTCTCAGTAGCTGCAGTAATTACAGCGTGCATTATTTTTCTCTAACATGTGAAAAATCGTAATTTCTAAACAAGCAGATCCCCAAACCACTATTTCCTCACAAACAAAAACCATCAGTAAGAGATCCCTAGTTTTGGGAAAATACGACTTTTTTTCCTTTCTGGTTCTTCACCTGAAGTTTGCCTTTAATACAACGCTACAAAAGCCTTAATTATTCCCACATCAAAGTTATTCTGGTAACTATGCGTTTTTAACATCCTTCTCACTTCTTTGTATTTGACAGTTTCCCTTCACTGTGGTCTTCAACTATGCCATTATTTACATTTAAAATGGATGAGGCTTGTTTCCTGCCCCCAGCCCTGGGGTGAGTGCTGTGGTGAGGTTCACATGGCTGGGCACTGATGGGTTTGCATCTCATGGAACCTTCCCTTCCGTTATCAGTAACGCTGTACACAGGGAGCACTGTGTGAGCAAATGGCAGCATTGCCCAGTGTCTGAGCACCCAACACTGATCAGTTCTCAGTGTAACAAATTACCAGTGCTCCCCCTTTCTAACAAGAGGGTCATGCTTCACCCCTTTTGTATAACTCTAAAACTGACACCAATCATTAGATATATTCCGAGTGACGTCAGGATACACACCTGGTAAAACAGATGCACCCTGCTGCACTACTTCAAATGAAGCTGATATGCAGGTGAAATATTTAAACAGTAGTATAAGCCAAATAAACACACGCAATCTATCGAAGTTAATCATTAATATGATTAAATTCAGTTATTGTGACCAAACTGTACTCAGCTTGAACAGTAACTGAGTGCTTGTTGGTCTGAAAAATGTTTTTAATAAGAAATTACTTAAGCTAAAAAGAGTTGGAGTTAAGTATTAAGGGAAATATGCAATAAGTGTGTGGTCACTGTGCTTCAGGACATGAATGTCTTCAGGAGAAAAGGAAGTTTTCATCTCCCTAAATTTTGTTCCATCTGTTTGTGTATTGGGTTGTTACTTAGGTGGTACGATGTCCAGAGAACACACTTTTAAAGGAAGACACACCATTGATTTTCCCTGTATCCTACAGCAGCTAGGGAATGATAACTGAGGCTGTCTGTTTCAGTCACCTCACACCTTCTCTCCCTGCAACAGAGCCACTCTGTCACCTTTCCTTCTGGAAGGTCCCAGGGAAATGGGCACGTCCTAAGGGGAAATTTAAAAGGGAGTGTTTCATAGCATCATTTGAGTTGGAAGGGACCTCTAAAGGTCATCTGGTCCAACTCCCCTGAACAGGGACATCTGCTGATGTCTCCTTTTTTGGTAGAATGTGCTTTACTGCAGGCAGGAATTATTAATGCTTTGTTATTGTTTTCCCTTGTTTTTCCATTTGAAGGGGAAAAGGAAGCTATGGTTGTCCGTAATTCACTGGCAGCAATAGCTGCATATTTCCTCAAAATCTTGAACTCTGTAGGCAGGCATGTAAAAATGAAAGCTGAGCACAGCACTAATTACTTCTGTGGCCACTTGCTCACAGGCTAACTTGTGTCACACTGAAACTGACACACTTGAAGTGGCGTGACAGGTTTCTCCCTTTTGCTTCCTCAGAGCCATGCGGTCTGCATGAAGCCTGGGGAGCTGGGGCCCTTTCTCATAGGTTGCTGTCTGCATTCTAGGGGCCAACTCTCCCAGGTGGCTCTCAGACAGTCAGGACATGCTGGAGCTGCAAGGAGCTTTCACAGGTTTTATGTGAAGCCAGACTGAAAGACACTTACAGAATAAGGCTCGCATTGTAAAGAGGAGGGCTGACTGGTTGCCAGGATTGCTTGGGAGATGTGGTTTCAGTTTTCTTTTTCACAATAGGTACTTAATGTGATCTGCGTTGACCTGCTCAGCCAAGATCAACAAAAGTAATGGACAGAACTGAAATAAGCTACAGCAGATGTTCTTTCCCTTCTTCTTAGACCTATCAGTTTCTACCTAATACTTCATTGCAAAACTGATTGCAAGATATGGCTTTAATTATATGCCAGATGAGCATAACATGATTTACCTGACCATGTATGTGATGAAGAGGTTAGGAATGGGTGGGGGTGGCGATTCCTTGTGCTGCTGTTATTGCCTATATAGGAAACCCTCCCACTCTGCAGGCTGCGGTGCTGCTTTGGACATTTGCTGCCATAGCTCTTAGCAGCTCTGGAGCCAAGACTGAAGTTGGTGCTGGTTTGAACCCGAACTTCTGCAAAGGTTAAATTTGGTGAGGAATGCGTGAGAGAAGTGTGTCGGTACAGTTTGCCAGGGTGTTATTTACATATTAAGGTGACACTAATGATGGTAGAAACCTCTGAGGGAGGTTTTAAGCATGGAAACTGTATTGCACAGTCATTCTTTGGAAATAGAGGAGCTGTGTAAGGAAATGTGGTTGTGGGCATGGAGTTAAGAGTTAAGGGGAGAAATGCTTTCATGTAGCCAACATGTTGCCTGAATGCTGATTTATTTAGTAGACTATTTTTAAAGTTTGTTTATGTGAGTTGTTTATGATGGGAGTGAGGGTGAAGCTAATGATGCTGTGGCATCACAGAGTTAGCATGTGTTACATTTGCTTTGCTTGTTGATTAACAGCTCTGTAAGGTGAAGGACATAAGAAACTGCTTCCCTCTTTGCTTCGGACAGAGCTGAGGACTTGCGCTTTACATTGAAATCAAGAAGTACTTTTTGCCCCAGTGAAGTGTTTTGCAAGGAATCCTAATACTGATGATAGTGCAATTAATATCAAATCATTGGATGTTGTGCAGCTGGGAGATCACTGGACTTCCAAGAGGATATTTTTATCTCCAAGGTGGTGGTACAGTGATCCACCAATGATTACAGACTTCAGAGTGTCCAAGCCCAAACCCTTCATATTTGAGACTCTTAACACCTAAATACCATCATGGGGGAAAGGGGGAGGGGAGGAAACTAGTGAACTACCATGTCTTTCACTATACTGAAAGAAGTGTGATTATTGATTCCCTTCACTATGTTACTGTTTCATCACTTGAGCATCTTTTTCTAAAAGCACATCTGTAATCTGTTAGGCAGTAGGTTTACATTTCTTTACTTCTTATTATAAATTCATTTGCCTGTCAAAACCAGCTGTTAAGTATTAAAAACCAGAGCACAGTACCTGTGTGTGTACCTGTTGTACTGTGTGTGTGATGCTCTAGTTTGTCTCATGGATTCTGCTCATCGATTTGTCAGTGTGTGAGGAAAATGCCCTTATTTCCGTTCACTGCTGATCAGGAATGCTTTATAGCATAGATGTAGTACAGCAGTTAAATTATTTATGCATATCTCATTGGAAAAAGAATCTAGCCTGTGAAATTAGAAACAAGTTGACATGACAAGGACAAGCTTAAAATAGCACATTACATTCTGATACCTGTGCTTTTAACACCTTTCCTAAGGAAAGACTTCCAAGTTAATATTGTAATCATTGTGATGTTCTTTTTTAGCACTACTTATTATAGGAGATAAGATAGCAAGTGAATAATACACTTCACAAAAATGTTCAGCAGATTTCTTCAGCATGTACTCAGATTTATAACAAATAGCTGCTAATGACATTTTCAGACTTTGGCATTGTGTTTTGCTTCCAGAAGGAGCACGGGTAAGACATTAAAAAAATAAGTTGTTATTGTCCAGCTAATGTCTATATTTTACAGAATTTCTTCTTAGACATGTACCACAGATGTGATGTATTATTACAAGATACTATCTGATACTGTGCAACCCATTTTCAAGTGAAAACAGTATTAGTATAGCATTCTCTGTCCTTGTTCCACTTAGCCAGGTGCCTTACCTAACTGTTCAGCATTCTAAATTTAAGTCACCCTTCTTAATATATGTGACTTCAATTCTAGGAGAAACAACAGTAGACTCACATAGCATGAAACAACGTTTTTCTTTTCTCTTTTTAAACCACTGTTCTACACATTATAAGATGTATTCTGAACTGCAGCTTAACTGAGTGTTGTTCTGTGTGTCTAACCAGTTTCAACTGCACTTACTAGACTTAGATGTCTGGCTTATAAAATTGTTTTTCTGTGCTTTGTTGTGCAGCTTTAGAAAAGTAATTTGAGTAGTAGTAGTCTCTTTAAATAGGATTCCTACCTGTATGTTCTTCCCTGGCAGTCCATAAGCACACCACGTGTGAGCAGTGAGGCTGGTCAGTGCAGCAGCAGTCCTGTATCTGGGGGCCGTGCCTGAAACTGCTGCCATCTTCACAAAGCCTGTGGGACAGGGTAAAACTCCATTAGCAGCTGCGATAGTTTGTACTTGATAATAACTAGCATTGTAAATATGATAGGCAGTTTACCATTATTCTGTTCTGCTTTTTAAGAAGAATTCAAGACCTTCCAGTCACTTTTGGAAAGCTGGTTGGAAGTTGATCATTTTACCTAGGTAAGCTGGAGAAATGGTTGGGCACTGAGCAGCATTTCTCCAAGGGAGACTATGAAGTTCTTGAATTCGCTCTCAGAAGGCTGCTCAGAAACACTGTCATGTTCATGAGAACAGTTTATCACCAATGAAATGCTCCTCACAGCTGATAGCTGAGTGAAGCTATCTCTGTGTGTGTGGCAGGGCACACCGTTCTCGTGCTGGTTGTACAGGTCTATCTGGAGTAGCCCTAGGCATATCTTCCTGTTCTTGAGGATCTTAATGGAGAATGAATGGCACGCCAAAATCTGAAGCAGGCACTTGAATTCTTCGAATAACAAGATACTTCAGTATAATACTATTCTTCTGAACTACTTCCAGTGCTGGGGATAGATAATCTTCAGCATAGCAGCCTATGTGAAGAGGAGCCAAAGAAGCTACAGATCCTGTTAATCACTCCTTTAATGCTATTTTTCTGTTGAGCTAATTATTTACATTCTTAACAGAAGGAACAGAGCATCCTGGGGAACAAGTGATTTCTCAGTGATATCCCCTGTGGCACTGCTTCATTTACAGGCTCTAAGCTGTTCTTGACAGCAGGGCTGTATCCCATTATATACCTTCTACTCAGCTCCTCTGTCAGAAATGGAGAGCAGCACATCAAGTAATTGAGTGACTGCCCTGCCTGCTGACTGCCCCTTAGGCCTCCCTAAAGGCCTTGTTTGCACAGATTCTGCTCATGGAAGTAGAAGGATATTAGCAGAGAGAAGATCTGAATACACTGCAAGTATGAAATTAGGTATGCAATTTCATAAAGAGAATTCCTTTGTTCAGTGCTGGTTGTTGTAATAAGCTGCTTTCTTTTCTTTTTCTTTCTTTTCAGTCTCTTGGAAAAGAATGTAGGAGGAACTGCAGGAAACAAATAAATGGTTTCTGCAGAGCACATGTGTGCCCTAAGGCATTTCTTTTGTGGCTGTCAGAAAATCTTTATGTATCACATGGAAGAGCAACGCTGACACCTGTGTTTGGTTTTCTCTAAAAGTCTGCTTGGGCAAGCACATTTTTCTTACCCTCATTATGTCTCATTAGCACAAATATTTTTTTACAGATAGAATATTGATACATCCAATAGCTTTTCCTGTGATTATATTCCTGCTTGTCCTTTTCTTGCTGCAGAGCCCCAAACCTCCTGCATATGTGCAGCCTGCTGTGGGCAGTGTTCTGTTCTGCAGGGGATTGTGTGCCTGCTCAGACCCATATCAGGCAACAGCATCAAGTGGGCCGCCTGTTGATTTCTGTCCTAGATGTTTTCTTACATTAGCTGCTGTTGGAGTATATGCTGCTTGGTTCAGCATAACGTGATGAGCTTGAAACTAAAATCAATCTCTTGTTGATCTTTTAAAGTGAAAGCTGAAGGTGTGCAGTGGTTTTGAAAATGGAGCAATTTGTTCATTTCACATCCAGCTTACTTGGGCCAATAGCAAGCCTTGTATAAGACAGTGTTTGCTAAAATATGAACTTTCCCAAAATAGAAGTTCATTTATTTTTTGTGTTTCTGTAGTCATTACTTATCTGGCCACAAGTCTAACTCGATATCCTAAATAAGTTACTATTTTCTGAATTGTATTATTTGTGTTTCTGCATGCTAGGAGGCACTTGTACTACTTGAACCAGGGAATGTATTAAGAAAGCTGTGTATAGAGAAACACTGGTTTGTAAACAAGGGGTATTCATCTCCTATTGCTCTATGCACTCTCAGCTCAGTGAAACACAGAGCGCTCACTGTTTATCAGGTTAGGCTAGAGATCTACTTGAGCAGGTACTACAACACAGTAGGTCTAACTCTGAACACTGCTGCAGCTCACAGTTCTGTACGTCTGTGTGGCAGATGGTGCGTATAGCAGTCTTTCCAAATCTAAGTGAGTGCTGCTGTCAGTGTACCACTGAGCTGGTAGGGCTATGAGGAGCTGGGGTTGTGGTATGTGCTGATATGAGGGTGCAAGTGTCTTGCTGAAAAAAAAAAAAAAGAAAAAAAAAGTGCATTTTGATGTAGGTGCTCAGATCCACCAAAATACTTCATATTGCCCAAGCCATCTGCCAGACGCTTTGTCTCCTCCCAGCAGTTACATATGCTGTTTATTTTTATTTTATTCTTCTCAAGATAATGTTATTTTCAGTTCACCTGAAGTAAGTCGTAAATGACTCACTGTGTATTTGACTTGCAATGAGCATTTTATCTAGGAAGCTAGAAGAGTTGAGCAGCCTGTGAAATGTCACTGCTTCAGATATGCTAGGTAAGTTGGAAGAGCTGGAAACTGCATATCACTGCACACTGAATGTTGGTCGTAGCAAAAGCACACAAACTTATGAATGTGGACATTCTTTTTGTAGCTTAAATTCTCAATTCAGTAGTCAGCTGCTAATTCTTTACCAGACAACCACATTGGATTAGGAAGACTGCTAACTACTGACCTGCAATAAATAACAAATTGAGCATATTAAATTTCTTTTGTTGTGTATTAAAATAATCTGTAATCAATTTTAATAAGACATGTCTGTGCTTGCAAGTGGTTATTGATGGTTTTGTTGCTGGGTTTTTTTGGTGGCTTTTGTGTTGGCAGTGGGGGGGGAGGGAGACAAGGGTTGCTTTTATAGTAAAGGTTAAAGTAGGTTGGTTATGCAGCACCTGCATGCGTTTCTCTAACGCAGTACTTCCATGAACAGCCTGCAAGGGCTGCAGCTGGCACTCCTGCATCCTGCTGCAAGGGGCAGAGAGAAAGGAACAGAAAAAGTGGGTGAGAGCTGCTTGTTTCAGCAGTAGCTGTTCTATGCTTGTTTAACTTGCTTACAAAGCTACAATGCAAAGGTGCAAGTAATCCTGTGTCATCTGGACTAAACCGAACTTGCCGCTTCCTCCTTTGTACTCACGTCTGTCTGACTGCATGAGGAGCTGCTTCAGGTAACTGACCTGACTTCAGAGTCACACACAAGTGCCTTGCTGCTAAATGTGCTGCCCAAGGGAACAGCCCCACTGAGATCACAGTAGATTTGGGTTGAGCTGGCTGCCATGAACCCAAACATGAAGACTGTGACAGAACCAGCAATTCATTGCTGTTTTCACTTCTCTGTTGGAATCTGCATTATGCTGAAGTCATGTTTTTGTGAATCCAGTTATGTAATTTGCCTCAACTGTGTATATATCAAAATTGGCTTCATGATATTTAAATACTCTGATCCCTTTTCTGTTCTTAGCATGACACTTTTTGCATTCTGAAAACTTAACATACTCAAAGAATCACAGTATTACATAGGTCAAGTGTAGCTTTACAATATTTTCCACAGCTTTGAATGTTACATGAAAAGAGAGCTAAGCCAAATCTGCAGCTAGGGGTAATGTCAAATGGCAGCCAAGCGATGTAACAAAGTGGGGGGAGTAAAAAGGAAAAAGAAGCAAGAGAATCTGTCTTGTGGTGCCTGTGGTCTTTTGCACCAGACATAAAAGCAGGAAATGAGGAGGGAGCAGTTTGTCTGTCCCTCGTAGCCCAACGGTCGTTTGGTACATTACTTTACAGAAAGGCAGCTGCATGTACAGCTGATTCCTGCTGTGGACTTGCACAGTGTAGTTCTCTACTTGCATGTAGGATAGTTGTGTTTTTGTGCCATTGTTAGCTAGATATGCATTTAATTTTCATGATGGAAATGGATTCTTTGTTTATTCCATAACCATGCAAATAGTTTTGCATTTTTATGAGCTCCGCTGTGTTTAAACAACTTGGTCAGAAGCACTTTGTTTATGAATTGCCTCTGTGTGGGGAACAAGAGGATGGTGAGGCTAAGGTTGCTGTTTGTAATAACAGCAGGGTGAGAAAGTGGGAGTTGGAATGGGTAGGGATGAGATTATGCCTTAGAACACCACGAAGAGCATCCAGCTCGTATGAGTGCATTGCTTGACATCCCAGGGTTGTCAGTACTCAGTCTGTTTGTGGATTAAATGTTATCCTTGCTCTTCCAGTTGGTAACAGAGGAGCTGTGTAGGCCTCTCAGTATTTCACCGAAGCTTGGTCTTTAGAGCATATTTTTCTTACAAGCCTTCAAATAACAACAATTGATAATTTCATAAAACTGAGCGGGGGAAAAAACCCAACGTACTAAACAGCCTGGGAATTCTAGTCTAACGTAAATTAAGATTAAAAACTTGTTCTAGGAAGCAGCTGGTCGTGTTATGTGAATGCTTAAAGGTGCTTTATGAATTATGACGACAGAAGGTTATCTGATACACAGAAACAAATGCAAAATTATTTTCAGATCACACTAAGCAATAAAAGACAATCAGATGGTGAGCAATCTCAGGCTGTCTCCCCCCACTTGTCACTGTAAAAATATAGCAGTTACTCAGGTATAGCCTACGTTCACTATAAAAAAATATCCTATTGTTTGAAGTTCAGTCCTCATTTGACATGGACCATAACTTCTGGAATGTATGCATGGAAATGAGATACCTACACAGCTTGTGTGTGTGTCGTGCTACTTTATATTTTAGGAGCACTCTTAACTGTTTTAACATTTGTTTTGCTACATCTCTGAACTGGGATCTGTGCCCAGATATAAAGGGTGGCTGGCAAGGAGGGGGTGATTTCATTCTCTGAAAGCCCACGGTGGATAAGGGCTCTGTTGGCTGTTTCTCTGAGTGAATTCTTTTGTGAGACTATTCCTTGGGCAGATAAAACAGTTTAATAGATTTGTTAGATATTATCTCCTAGTTTATAAATTTACTTTCAGCTAAAAAGCTGATAAACATTCCAATAACATGGATGGTATATCCAGATTTACCTTTAATAAGCTCATGAAAGGTAAACGTGGATCCTGGGCTACCAAAACTTCAATGCTGAGGCTATTAAAAGCAGTATAATGTCACCGTACTTTCAGTCAAAAGTAAATTTTGAAGCTTTTTGTCAGGCCCAGTGTTTGGCAGCAAGCTACACACTTCTAATATCTGAAGGCCCTCAGAACGTGTAACTTAGGTGAAAATGCAGCACTTCAGAATGATATCGCAATGAGTTCTCAGTGGTATCCTGTGATGTAAAGTACAAGATCAGTCTGTTCCATGTTTTCAAATAGCAGGTACTGTTTTGCAATTGTATAAATGAGAGTGCCAGCAAACAGCTGACAAGGCTTGCATTACCAACCCAGAAAAAATCTTGGCTCAAATGGTTTGTTTAGATACATCCATAACCTCACAGATGCCCAGAATTTTCACAGTTTAATACTTTTCTTTTTCAGATTTTCATGAATTTATCTGCCTGCTCACCTAGAAACACTGAACTGCAGTTGTGTTAAAGGTAAAGACTGAATTGTTTTTTGTAGGCCACTGAGCAGACTGATGGTAACAGGAGAATGGGCTCTTAACTAACCAAAATCCTGAAACGCTGAGCTTTGTCCAAGTACTGATAAACTCAGAGCAGAGACTCTATTTTTGATGGAAAAAATTCTAACAGAGTATTTCTTTCTGAGTATTTCTGCATTTGTTAGCACATAAAACTCTGTTTTTCTTGCTAGCAGTAAATTGCTTTTGTGATACACAGTGTCATATTAAGGATCTTTCTCTCACTTTTTCAGAAGAAAAGCATTCCTAAAAATAAGCTGAAAGAATTGTCAGTAGTGTCAATTTCCTCCCCTTGCTTCTTCAAAAATTAAGCCCAAGACTGTATTACTGTCCCTTTAGCTTAGGGCTGTACAAATAGTTTCATACTCTTATAGTTACTATTGTTAGTCCTGTCTGATTCATTTTTAAAGTGATCCAGTTACCTAAATGTTAAGTCATGCCATCAAGCCAGTTGAATTTTAGATTTGTGGTCTATTGCAAATAGTAAGTCGACCCTTTTTTACATCTACTGAGCCAGCGGGGCTTGCACAAGGTCTCTCAGGAAGCTATGGAGCTGTGCTAGCACGTGGCTGTCCCAGGTTAACAAGTTACATTCTACCTCTCAGCATGGGTAAATGGTGTGATCTATGGCTATGCACCTCTCTGGCAGAGCTGGATTGCTCTGTTCTTTCTCTGCTTTGAGCACGTGGTGCTTGACCCAGTCCTGTAAGTATGTCCTCTGCTGAATCACAACAGCAACTTGGATATTTTGGACTAAGAACATCCAAAGCTGTCTGCTTCTGAAATTGTACATGCTGAACAGGCATGCTGCTGTCTGTAAGATGTTATTATGCCTTTTAAAAGATGGCCTTTGTGTGTGTGTGACCAAATTTTTAATAAAATCAAGCAAAATACCAATAACACCAAAACCCCTCACAGTTCAAAACTGTCAGGGTCCTTTTTCCTTTTTAATTTTTATTGTTAGACTTCCTTTCTCTAAGAATTGTGATAGTTTTTACCAAGACAGGAGATTAAGGTAGAAACTCTTGTGTTTGGAGCTCTTCTGGCTTTGTTGTTCTTATGGTGGTTTCAGAGCGATTGAGCAAAACAGTGTTCAAAGCTGTTAAATCTAAAAACTTGAACCTGCATGTTACTTTATAAAATATATTGAAATGTGTTTGGTCATCAAGCAACTGTTACAGTACAGTTAGTCAGTAAGACTGCCTTACTTGGTTGAAAACGCCACCGCCAATGTTATACCCCTTGCTGACGTGTAAAACCCACAACTTCTCTGACTAAATTGGTGTATGTTCCATTTATTGGCTACGTACAGCTCATCTCCAGACTACACCCCCAGATATTCCGTATATAAAAATAAATTCTTGAGTTGCAAATAACGTTATTAAAAGAAATGTACCCTAATGATCTGCCTGTCACAAAGCACAGCATGGCAGTAGCAGAAAGCAAATTCAGTAGCAAAACATTGAGAATAAAAGGAGTGAAAAGTCACAGTGTGAAGCTCTATCTTAGCTAAATCTCTTTCTCCAGCTGTGGATCTACAGTTGAAGGAAATGTAAAAATGAATCTAGGTATGTCTGACTAGGAAGTGGGTTCACCATGTACCAATCAATAGACTATGCTAAAATTTTGCTAAAATTAAGACCACAGTAAAATTGAATTCCTTAAACAGACAGAGGATATCACTGATTTTTCCACTGAGAAATACTGTGCTTGTGCAGAACATTACAACATGCTTGCTCCCAAGGCTTTTAGCTTTCAGTGATTCTCAGACCATTTTCATTAGAAGCTTAACCAGTTGCATAATGAGAATAAAATGCAAAATACAGATGGCTCATGCTTGAAACCTCAGGGGCTTCCATCTCCAAGGGCTATGGGTGGGAGCACTTCTCTTAGTTGCGTTTTTAAGTACACTCCCAGTCATCTGTGTATCAGAACATCTGCATGGAGAAAGTTTCTTAAAATTGCAAATAAACTACAGCCTGATTTCCTGAAGTAATACAGAATGATATGTAGAACCTCTGTCTTAAACTGCACAACAGTTGCTGTTGGTGAGACATTCAAAAAGAAGAATATAATCTGTCAGGGTAACTACAGTGAAAAGGAGAAGCTGTTGTAGTGTGTTGTTGTGTATGGGTTTCAGTGCAGTGTGGGAGGTTAATTTCCTGGAATCCTTCACTAGAGCACTGAAGGTGGGATTTTGATCATTTTGATCTGTCCTTATGCTGCAAGTTTGGCTGCCAGACTGGACTTGAGTTCATGCACTTTGGCATTTTAATGTTTGAGTTGCTCCATTCACAAAAAGGTTATTATAGAGCAATGCTGATCCATTTCAGGAAATGTCTAAATGTAGGAAGTAGCTGTCAACAGCCAGCTTGCCTCTGTTCACATTACTAAGCTTTTGTCAAGTGAATGTATCAGCTGAATCATATTTAGAAAAAAAAGGAATGATTCAATATTCACTTTCTCCTAACTTCTGTTCTTACATAGAAATAGATTCATACTCCTACTGTATTTTCTATTGGTAAATGCTGCTTTACTTGATATATTTCTAGTGCATTGTCACAGGAGTACATACAGTTTCTTACAGGTTGTGCTGCCCAGGTGTTAGCTAACATACCAAGCATGGGGCCACAAAGCAAGCATTAATATTTAATCTATGTAGCAGTAGCAATATCAATAATGATTTTTCTGTTGGAAGCAAGATAGTAGTTAGAAAGTACAAATGTAACTTGTGTTTCTGCAGTAACACCCCACCACACATTCATTACTATTAGAAACAAGAATGCTACATCTGACATTGAGGGCTGTAAAACACCATATATTACTTGCAGTGTGTCCTGAAAATACAGCAAAAGTGAGTTCTTAACTTTTCCTTATTTAAAAAGAAACAGCTCTGAATGAATTCTTGCTTTGTTATGGGTGTTCCTGCCCTTAACAAAAGCAAAATCAGATCAGCCCTTCATTGCTGAGTGAGGGGACTCGGCAGTGTAGTTCCAGGAGCCACCTGAAGGAAGTCACCTGTGGAATGAGGCTGGTCCCTTTTGATGCCAAGTAAAACAGCTTGACTTAACAGCGTGCCAGTTTCTGATACCCATATTCGAAAACATCCACAAAACAGTGGGAATGTCATTAAGTGCAGTGTGCAGTTTCTCTTGTGCTTTTGCACTGTTTTACTTCTCCCTTTTCCAAGTGTCTTTCTTTGGCCTGCAGTCTGCATCTTCAATCACATTTACAAGTAGAATCACCCCTGAACATGGAAGTTCTAAACAAACACTGATTATAAAAATTAGACTTGAATGTTTCCTTGTAGTTCCATATTTTACATGACTGCAGAAACAGCCTGTGATGCAGATCTATACAGAACAGTATGGACGTTCAGTGTTCTTTTTGTACTTGCTTCATCAGCAATGCTGGGCAATACAACAGTTGATCTAAAAAAAGAGAATGTTTTCCAAAAGTTTGACTTGCCTGTACTCGAAGGAGACATGAATTTCATTTGGTGAAGCAAGCAATAAAACTTTTTATTTTTGTAATTTATGAAACTGGTTTTAATGAAATTATTAGATTACTTGAATAGGGTTATGGAATTTCTCAAGAGCAGTCTTTGTGTTTTTGCCTGAAGGTTCTGGCGAGAAGCTGACAGACAATGTGAAAAATAGCCCTTTTTGTTTGTGGGTCTCAAACTGATCTGATCTTCTAGACCACATAATCCACCACTTCTGTGCTGTTGCAAAGCAATTTACTGCTGTAAACAAAACAACAACAAACCAAAGATAAATTGCACTAGTTGGGTCCTTGGAGCCATGTAAGTCACAGCCTTTTTATTGCAAAGTGATGGTGTAGCAAAGCACAGATTCAGAACTGGCTGCTCTCGTTACATCACTCAGGAAGGAGACTATAAATTTCTTATCAACTGTTTATATAGCTTTAGGAGAAATTCCATTGCCACACATCCTCTGAAATTTGTCCTCAGTCATCCTGCTTGCCTTTCTGTGTGCTTGTTTTCAGAAGTTGGGTGAAATGCTACCATTGCACAGCTCTGCTGCTGAAACACAGGAGTACGAGTAACATTTGCCATCATGCCTCATGAGTTTGGGGTGCACATTTGGGTGTTTAAATCAGGCTGAAGTGCTTCTTTAGGAGTACAGAGTGTGTGCTTTCATGTTTGTTTTCAATTTTTGTACCCTTTAGACAGGGTATATTATGTAGATGTTAGAGGAGTTTTGAGGTAATATCAGTATTTTTTGAGCGTTTACTGTTTTCCATCCTCTTCTGAAATACCAATTGTTCAAGCCAGCAAGCCATACCATGTTCACTTCCTTCAGCAAGAATACCAGCAAAACAAAAGGTGCCTTTTCATCTTTAACCACAAAAAAAAAAATTAAAAAAAAAAAAAAATTGCTTTAACTTCAGTTAAACTGAGTGCTGGCATATACAATACAGTAGTACATAAGTGGACTGACTCAAAGCCTCATATGCTGGAGGCTTGTGATGGATCAGGTTGCAGCATGACCAGTACAGGCTGAGAGCAGCAGTGTCAGGAAGTGCTGGAGTGAATGAGCCTAAGGATTTACAGAGCAGGTTCTGGGTAGAATTGAGTGAGGCAGAAGGACCAGAGGTAAGCCTAGAGGAAATACTTTCCTAATTCAGTGTGTGCTCAGTGGACAGTTCTCAGTTGTGAAATCATGTCTCAACCTTTTATGTTCTCTGCCTTTGGGGCACACAAACAGCTCTTATCCTTTCATTAAATATTTGCTTGCTGTCCTGTAAAGATTAGGAGAGACAGTTTCACACCAGTCTGTTAGATAAATAGGAAATACAGGGTAAGCTCAGCTGGTCTGGCTTCTGCTACAGCAGTGCTGGAAGTTCTGCTGATAGATGTCTGACAGCTGACACAGATTGATTTGAATTGTTTTGATTGATGTTAAGTGTATACAGGTTTTGAGGCACTAAAACAATAATGATTTTTTTTTTCTTGGCACTAAAAATAAATGTGAACTTTGCTTAGTTACTAAGTAGATCATTGCATTCACTACTTGCTTCTTCTCCCAGGCAGCAGTAAGAGAAGCATAACTTCCTAATACTACATTTGTTTTTGCTATTTCAAATATGTATATCGCTCTGAAAGTAATGCCTCCTATTTATTTCCATGGAAACTACAAGAGATACAAACAGCACAAAAACACCGTTTGACAGAACAAATTCTCAGCTACAAAACACTATTTTCTAACAGTCACCACCATTAGCTGTGCATCTTCGCCAGCAATGAACAACACTGGCATGCCATGCTCATCAAAGTCTGCACTAGTGGAGGTGCCTCACTGCTGCAATGCACTGCCCACCCCTCACTGTGCTCACACCCATTGTTTGGTCCTCATAAATGTTCTGCAAATGTTGATGAGTGGCAGTAGGTGCCATGTTTTCCATATGGAGGAATTCAGTTCCACCCTTTTGCTTCATCCTCACTTCCATGTCAGACACCATGCTGTCAGGCTGCCCCTCTGCTGCCATCTGTCACAGAGCAAAATGTAATGGGATATTGGTGGGAAGGTTCAACCCCTGCTGCTGTACCACCACCATCTGCCTCTGACATCGTGGGCCAACGTCATAAAATAGGAGGCATTATTTTCAGAACAGCCCTTTTGGAATGTATATATTTAAACAGGGACTCCAAACTCGTGTCAGGATCCCCTCTGTCTGACTTCCCCCTCTCCCTGACTGTTCGGACGTAGGTACTTATATTTGCACTGTGTGGACAAAGCAAGAGCTCTTGAAAACTCTCAGACTTGGAGCTGCATTGCATTTACAGAGCACGGAAGTACGTCAGACACCTGCTGGCATTGCTCTGGAGCCTTTCACTGCCCCTGACGTACAAAATTATGTAAGAGGAAAATATGTAGAAATGCGACTGTGAAAGAGAACAAAATTTGGACCTTGTGTACTTTTTTTCACCATGGAAAACTTGCAGTAATATTGGCAGTGTTTGCTTTTATAAAAAAAGAAAAGCAACACCAATATGATGTAAACACTGAATCATTTCCTTTCATTTTTCTTCCTTCAGCCTTTCTAAGTCCAAAAAAGTTGTAATTAGTCCAAAGATTCTGATGGCTCTTACTTGGAAATATTCTCTTCTCCTTATGTGTGATGTGGATATGTATGGAAAATCAAAAACTGTAGTGAGCTGCAGTTTGCACTGCTTGTTTGCTGTGCTCAGCTTGCTGCTTTGTTCTGCCAATGCTGCATTTCTCAGGCTTTCTGTAGTTTCTTTTTTTTGTATAGGCTCTGAGTTCCAGTACTGGAATGAAGACTAGGAGATATTGATTAATTCCCTTCCAGAGATGGGTCATAATTAATAACTGATGCATTTATTCAGCTCAGTTTGGTTGGTTGGTTGGTTGGTTTTTTCAGTGTGTGGAACTGCCTGTCTGCTTGTAAGTTGTCAATGCTCACTGTGCTTTCCAGAGAGCTTACATCTGCTTGAATGCTACAGACATTCCAGTTGTTATTTATTCAAAATGGATTGTTTTGGAAGATTCTGGTACTCCCTGAAAGGAGTCAACCTATGCTAAAGCCAGAATCGTGTCTGTGTTTGAAGTGGAGCTCAGTCATAGGAAAACTGGGATTTCCTCTGATGTTTTTATACTAAACAACTTCTTGGGCTGCAGATCCCAGTTCTGCGTGGGTTTGGTTGTAGGTCAGAATCTGCCCTTTTCCTGTCAGCATTCTTACCAGAACACTTTCCTACCTTAATGAAAAAGCATCTAAGAAGTTACAGTGAATGTTCTAAGTGGATTAGTAGAACTGTGTTTTCTTCACATGATGATATTATTTGGTTTGATCCCTCTCAAGCTCTTCAACATGAGAGGAAGAAAATAAATGCTGTTAGTCATATACTTTCAATGTTAAACCTTTACGGGGTTTGGGGTTTGGCTAATTAAAGCTTTTTCTAGTGAAGATAATAATTTGCTGCCTTACTGGAATTAATCTGCCTTGGATGAAGTTTCTAACCACAGGTACTTTAGGTTTTGAGTTGCACTCAGAAGTGCTGTTGTAGGTGCAACTGCTGGAAAACCCGATTCTGTGCTGTTCGTACATCTAACGGGAGAGAAGATAAAGGCATTTCCCTTCAAGGTCATCAACTTCTCTCTGTTCCTCCCCCCTTTTGTCCTTATTTGGTCTCATAATCTTCTATTGCTTTTTTTTGGTATATATTAAAAAAAATAGTTGCTACTTGTTCCTTTTATTTTCAATTAAATGCATGAAAAAATATGGAAGGAGGAGTGTCCCATCTGTTCAGGAACCTGTCCTCTGATTTCAAACCTTGCTCCATGGCCCTGGCTGCAGGACGAGAACAAAGGGTTGCATATTGTCTGTTCTCAGTGCTGTTCTGCAGCATTTAATTGAAAATATCAAATTAAACCTAATGTGCATCACTTTGGTCCGGCATAAAACTCAGTGTTGGTGCTTTGTGAGCATTCACTCAGTTGTTTCTCCATAGCAAACCTGAACTTCCCAAGTCTGTAAACACCCAGCATGTACTAATAGCAAGGAGGATGTGACCTCATGGGTGATACGTATGCTGTAACATAACACTGTAAATGTTAAATGAACTCTAGTCTACAGAGATACCATCTCAAATTTGATAAAAGAAACTTACTCACTAAAGGAAAATCCTTTGGAAATGCTGAAAACACAGCTATCCAAAAGAGAAACTGTCTGCTTTTGATTTGGCTTGTTTTCTTAGACTTTCTTAGTCATGCCTGATGCACGCTTACTGTTACTGCTTGGAATGTGATTTCCTACATCAAGATCTGGAAGTTCTGCAGTTTCCAAAGTAGACAGATTAGCTTCCAAACATTCTAGTTACATTGCACAATTAAGTGGAATAATACATTTTGTATGATAGTATAAAATGTTACGTATTCTAAACATCCTAGTGTTCTAGAATAGCTTTACTTTAACATGCACTATGCTTTCTTTGCTTTGTGAGCAAAGCTCACTGAGAAGATAGCCATCAGACTGGCAGTCAGCATTTGGCGTGCCTTTGGGTATCTGTGATTGTGCATCAGTGTGGATGTTACCTCCCTCATCCTCCCTTTCTCTCAAAGACAAATTCAGCTTTAAAAAAGACATTGAAGGCCTACAGTGTAATTTGAATAGCTGTGTTTGGCTTCTAACCAAATGGGTTTGGTATCTAGCTACTTTTGTAATTTCGGTAGTTTTGTTCTGTTATGGATTGTGTTTAAAATATGATATTTACTGGGCTTGAGTATAAGATGGTGTCAATTCATATGCTATTCTTCTTCAGGAGCACTAGGGCAGAGATTCTGAAACCAGCAGCGGAAAGAATGCTTTCCTCACATCTTTCTCTCTGCAGAGCAAAAAATACCCACGCTAAAACATACTTTTATTTTCTGTTTGAATATAGATCTAACTGACATCAAATAAAACTTGGACGTTGCTGTCAGATACCTTGTAAGTATACATATGTGAATGTAGGTATATATGCTTGTGTGTGCATGTATCTGTTTTTATAAGAACATCCTCAAAGGGAAAAGTAATGTTTCTTTTCTCTGCACTTAGCAAGTTTTTCCATTCAATTGCTGTTAAGAATTCCAACTGATTTATGTCAGAATAGAAGCATTTTAAATTACTACAGTGAAAACAGAGTAGCTAAGTTCTCAGTTTATAAACACTTCTAAAAGTATTTCAAACTAGTCTGAAATTTCAAGATGAAAGTAATGAACCTTTAATATTTGCTTATGTGACCTTTAATGTAACTGCCTGCAAGCACACAAAGTGTGTTTGTATATGCAATTAATTCAGATGTTAAGAGTGATTTCAGGGGGGTATCAGTCTTAGAACACAACCCTCTTTCCCATTAAGACCCTTTAGTCATTATTTTATTATTTCAGGCAGATGTTCTGATGAGGTTTCTATGTTAGTCTTAGCAGTATGGCTGGCCTTTGTTTTATGTCCAAGCTCAACTGCATCTTTGGGAGCACTGAATTAACTGGGATGAGAACATCAAACAAGATTTGTGATAGAAACCACTGACCTTCATTTTAGAGAACTGGTGCTTGCAGGGGAAGTGGAGTAATCTTTCTTCTGAGGTCTGACTGTTTGCTGAGCAACTGACAATGGAGTTAACTAAAGCAGAACAAGGACATAAGCTTTGAAAAGAATGTAGAATTTTCTTTTAAGAAAAGATTCTTTCTGAACAAGTCTGAGCTTAGCTTTCTACGTGACACATTCAGTAGTCATTTTAGACTACAGGTTTAATTAAAAATGTAACAACATCATGATCATGCTATTTTGAGTATCTTACATTACATATTGTTGATATTGGCTACAGCACAGCTGCGAACGTTGGGAGTCTTATTAAAAACCAACAGCCTATTAATAGATCTCTGTTGTGCTGTCAGTAGCAGCTGTCTTGTTTAACCTGAAACGTTAATTGTAGCCTCCCTCACCTGGGGTGGCAAACACGTTAATAAAGATACACTTTGGGGTGTGCCTACATTCTTTCAATGCTTGATGGAGCCCTGAAAATTTCCCTAGTCCAATATATTTTGTTTATCAGATCTCGTTCGTCAAAGACTGAGCTTTCCTATAAGCTAGTCAGCACTGCTCCCTCATGTGTCTGAGGTACCGTTTTTGTCAGTGCACCTTTGCCTTCCACGTTTCCTGTTCTGTGCATTGTTTGTGCTGTGTTTGCATGCCATGTTTGCATGCTGTCCAGGTGAAGATAAGCAGCTGCGTCATTCGTGTGCCAGCACAGACCAGTACAGACGAGTGGGGTGGCCACCACTGTGTTTGTGAGGTGGTTTTGTTCTTCTCCCACTTTGGTCTTTATTCAGGCCCAGTTCTCCTTAATGAAGAAAGGTTTCTGACAAAATCTTGCTAAATTGTGCTTCATTTTAAATTAGATTCCATTTTCTGTACCTGGAGCTAAAATGCATATACTGAAATTAGGTGTGATTGTTATTATTTAAAAAAAAAATTTTGGAGGGATGGTTAAATAAGTGCAATCCCTTTTCAGAAGTCTGACAGTCAAAAATTAATTGATAATACAGATATTGGTGTGAAGTTAATACAGCAATGTTGGGATACTGTATTGTTCTTACATTAGAACATGAAGGTTTTTCAGGACTCTCTATCAAAATACTTTTAATGTAAGTTGATTTAACATCCTGAAAGGCAGTAAAGACACCTACTCTATCTTTCCACTGCAATACAAATATTTAGGGGGAAAACAGCTTGCCCTTTCCCATCGTTACACAACTGTAGCGTTACACAAGCAGTTTAAACACAGTATTAAGATGTAAGAGAACAGACTTCATATTTACAGCCCTGAACTATTCCAGCAGAGACAGGGGGGAAGTCTTTGAAAAGTAAATATTTGTGGATGGAACAAACAAGTATGGAAGAGTCAACCTCTGTAATCTCAGAGCAGATGCACTGGTACGTCATGCAACCACATGTATCAGTTAATTCAGTCTCCTTGGTCTTGATGCATTTGAGGTGAAATCTCAAAGGACTAGAACTAATGGACTGACTGTAATACTAATTTAATTCTCTTTTTTTTTCCTGCTCTCTGCTTGGCTCTGGTCTTCACCCACAGGTGTCCACTGCTGGCTCTCAAAGGTTACTAAAATTTTAGCAGCTGCCTTGAAACTGAGCTACCTAAGCTTCACTTACTGTTGCTTCTCCCTGCACCATACTGCACTGCTGCTTTTGCTCTTGCCTGCTCAGAACACACTAAGAGATTTTTCTTTTTCAAATACCCACAATGAAACTTAGGCTAGAAGTATGTGCCATTCTTTTGCTGCCTGTGTACGTGTTAATATCTGTATACAGTATGCTTGTATTTATTCCGTGGTATTTTCTTACCAACGCTAAGAAGAAAAAGGCTATGGCAAAGCGTTTAAAAGCTAAGCCCATCTCGGACAAACCTGGAAGCCCCTACCGTTCTGTCACTCATCTTGACTCACTAGCAAACATAAACATTCCTGGAGCAGACACACTGGACAAACTGTTTGACCACGCGTTAGCAAAGTTTGGGAAAAAGGACTGTCTTGGGACCAGAGAAATACTGAGTGAAGAAAATGAAATGCAACCAAATGGAAAAGTTTTCAAAAAGGTACAGCTTACCATTTAGTACTTAATTCTCATTTGGTTTTGAGCTCTTTTACATTCTGCTTCAACAGCAGAGGCAACATTAGAGGTCTTCTTTAATCCCTTTTTGATTTAAAATGTGTGCTTTCTAGTAGTTAAAGAGTAATGCTCTAGGGGATGCACTCATTATTTTGCTACAAGAAAAATGGAAGTGCTTGTTATGTTGAGCATCAACTCACAAAAGCAGGGAAGAGCTGTACAAGTTGCTTGTCATCACAAGGGTGTTTTTTCTGTTGCTGCCCCCTCTTCCAGTTAATCTTAGGAACCTACAGATGGCTGTCCTATGAAGAAGTAAATCAGAAAGTGAATCGCTTGGGGAGCGGACTGATAGCCCTGGGACTAACCCCAAAGAGCACTGTTGTTATATTCTGTGAGACCCGAGCAGAATGGATGATTGCAGCCCTGACCTGCTTCAAGTACAACTTCCCTCGTGAGTGCTAACTTGTGTACTTTCAATATATTTTAGAAGTGATTTCCAGTACTGCTTTGGCTGTTAAGAATGTGTCAGTCCTGATGCTGATGGTACAAGAATTAATTAAACTTATTCTGTGCATCACCTGAGTTTTGAAGTTTCCAGTATATTCTGTACATAGTAGAGATCACTACAATTTACTTGCTCATACTTATGAGCCCAACCTTTGGGACTGTAGCAACATTTTAGATCTTAGTGTGACAGATAGGCAGAGTTACAGTTCAATTTTTTAAAGTACTATAAGGAGTCAGTAGTTGCATTTTCCCTGCAGACTTTGGGATGGTTGTAGCATTTTCTGTCTATATTCTGACTTCTGTGTCTGAAACATGAAATGGTTATTGGAAGAATGATAACCCAAATGAGATGCTAGGCCGAGGGGTGGGTATTTGGTAACATTGCCAAACTGCTCAAGTTCGTTCCCATTATGTATGAGCTTTTCTTTTTTATTTTATTTAAGCAGTCAGTATATTTAGTCTGACTTGTTACATACAGCCTTTTCAATGAAATAGGGAAGGTTACTAGAGAGTCATGGAAAATTCCTTTTGTAATCCTTTCTACATGATCACAACTTCACAGGAACATTAAATTCTTTAATAGTCTTTGGAGGTTCAAATTTGAGGTACCAGTATGATACTAAAGGATTTTCCTCAACAGAAAAGGTGGACTCCTCAGTGCCTGTGAGGCACTCAGTAGCATTACTATTACCAGTCAGAATTAAAAAAGAATCTCTCACCACAGAAACCAGTCTGATTTCTTAGTCTGATCTCTGCTCTGCCCTGTCAGTAATTTCATGGGAAGAAGAAAACAGCTGGCACAGAGGCTGAAAGCTGGCACTCAGCTGGAAGTGCACAGCAGGAACAGTGGCTGGTGCCCTGCAGTGTGAGTGTCAGCTCTCCTGCAGCATTCTGATGCACAGCATTCAAAGGAAGAACAGATTCTCAGCTGCTGACTGTACAACTGCTTAGTGTGTTTTCGTTGAGTTTTAGTGGATCTTTTTGTTTTGATGATTTCTCTTCTTCCATATAACTGTCCTCATTCCTGTGATCTCTTGTAGAATACAATTCTGATTTGGGAAGATTAAAAGCTGCTTTGTTTCCCAATTAAAAAAAAATTCCCATTGAGCTCATTCCCCCCACAATGCATTGCAGTGTGTGAAAGCAAGAGCTTTGGCATTTGTTGTTGCCTTAACTTGTGTGTTCATTCTCTCTCTTCGATATAACAGTTGTTACCTTGTATGCTACACTGGGTGAAGAGGCAGTAACCTATGGTCTCAATGAGTGTGGAGCATCATATCTGATCACCAGTGCAGAACTGCTTGAGAGCAAACTTAAGGTAACTTAGCCCCAGCTTCACCTGCTTCCAAGCAAACCTGCAGTAATTTTACAGCACAGTCACTGCTAACAATTTTCTTTCTGTTCTGTAGGCTACATTGCCGCAGATCTCCTGTCTTAAACATATAATTTATGTGGACAATAAGACTATCAATAAATCTGAATATCCTGAAAATGTTGAGATTCATAGTATGCAGACAGTGGAGGAGCTGGGAGCCAAACCAGAAAATGGTAAGTGAATCACTTCAGAGAATTGATCAAGCAATATGAAACCAGACCTGATCAAAGACGTTGGGTAGCAGAAAAAAGTAAATGTGCCAAGTCTCAAACACAAGGGAAGTGGCAGATAGCCAGTTCATCCTCTGCCCCTTTAAATGAATGGATAATTTGTTAGATCCCTGTTTATTGTCCTGTACCTTTGTTCACATTTCAGGTATTTTGGGATAAAACTTAAAATTAAGTTTCTAAAATACAACCAGAATATCTCTATGACTCTGCCTTTATTTTGGGAAGTGAAGTAGAATCTGGTTCAGTATTCCATTTTCTGCTACTCTTACCTTTATTCATCTTATTTTCACTATTTATCCTAAGAGAAAATAAGCACATAAAGGTTTTTTACTTGTGAGCTTGGAAGCATCTTTTTATCTGAGCCAAGCTGAGACTGGAAAACACCTTGAACAACTGAAATAACTACTATATAGCCTTACTACACTGGGCAGCCTGCAGCGACTCTACCATCTTCAAGGAAGGAGAAAATCCAACCTTGATCATCCTTTTTCCTTACCTCAGTGGTCTGCACCTCGCCAGAAAGTAGGTTTTGAATTAATGCAATTTTGCTCTTGCATTTTGTAGCAAGCATTCAGCCAAGCAGACCTGTCCCCACAGACCTGGCTCTAGTAATGTACACCAGTGGCTCTACTGGGAGACCTAAAGGAGTGATGATGCAGCACAAGAACTTGATAGCCGGAATGACAGGACAGTGTGAGAGAATTCCTGGGCTGGGGTAAGAAACACTTTGTTGCCAAGCACTGGGGGATAAAAGAGAACCTCTAGAAGTATGTAAGTTTATGGAAAATCTGTTGCAGGAGCCAGCTATTAGCAAGCTCCTTCATTTAATTGTGAGCCAACTAATCTTTGATTTATATGAAATACACGTTGATTTGTGATCTCACCCTGTTCTTTGCAAAGTATGCCCTAGACCTTGTCCCATCTTGCTTTTTCTGCTCTACGATTGTTTTTTTTTTCCCTCACCTTTATCTAGAGGGACTGGGATGGATTTTGCACTCATCTATGCATTAGAAAAAATCACCAGATGGAGAAATTACTAATTTAGTCAAATTTGGGAAAGTTTTTTGCTAGATGTTTTCAGCTAGAATCACTTTAGGAAATATACCAGAACCTACCACTTTCATTCTAGAGAGACTCCTGCTGGATGGATAATACATGTACTGCTGAATCTGCTCCAGTATTCTGCACTGAAATGAGCAGAGAAATAATGAATTGTTTTGATGATAATATAGCCATCTGCAAACTCCCTCACTAATATTCTGAGAAATGTTTTGTGAATGCGGATGTGTCTTTGTCACTGCATTCACAAATACAGCTAAAATAACCTACAATAAACCTTTTGTATGGTAGGATATAAGAGCCATTCTGACCTGATGTTGGAAGTTTCTGTATTGGTAACAGCTCTAAGTTTATTCTTGAGAAATCTCTGCATTCCCTGAAAAAATCCTCTGTTACATCAGTGATCAGCTCTCCACTAATCTGTTTGAGAAGGAGATGCTATGATGACTTAAGGATTTGAATCATGTTGGTGATAATGTAAAAATAGTGATTTCATCCTTAATTTGGCACCTGGGATGAAATCTCCCGTAAGGAGAAGAAACCTGCAATGGAGCACTAAGGAAACTTGAGCTTCCTAGAAAACAAGGCAAATCCTATAATTCATACTAGTTTCAGTGAGGTAAGATTTTTACTGGTTCAGCCTATAAACTGATTTATAATCACACCCTTCTTGCATGCAGAGGAAAAAGTCTTTGTGACCTGAGTCTCCCAGAAACACATCTGAACACACCACAAAAAAAGTGAAGCAGTATTTCAGTGCACTCGTGCGTCACTGTTCATTAGATAATCTTTCCTTTACTAGGCCCAAGGATACTTACATTGGTTATTTGCCCCTGGCCCATGTATTGGAACTGACAGCAGAAATTTCTTGCATCACTTACGGCTGCAGGATTGGATATTCCTCTCCACTTACACTGTCAGATCAGGTGAGGGGTGGGGGGAAAGCAAAAGCAAATCTAAGCTTTCACAGTCTAAGTTCTTGATTAGCTATTCTCTTCCTTTAAAGAAGTGCTGATTCATGTGATACACTTAAGAAATAATATTTTTTTTCAGAAAATGATGCAAATAAGCATTCCTGGTGGAGCTACAGCAGTGGGTCATACTATATAAAATTTTATTTAAGCTTTTGCTTTTATGATACTTAGGAAATTTAAAAGAAAACCTACTAACTGTGTATAACGTTATCCTAGAGAAAATCAGGATATAAACAGCACTAACTGTACACATGACTCCATAGAGTGATTTTAAGTTCTTAGTCTCAGTTTGAGTTCTTTACTCCATTATTGCAGCTCTTCTGTTTAGCTTTTTGCCTTTTTACAAATTAAGCTAGAGAAGAATGCTTCTGTACATTTTGCTGGTACAGAGATGGCATCAGATTTTAAAATAAATAAACAAAAAACAACCCACCATTAATAACAAAAACATGCCACAAAGTACTTCTGGAGGAATACAGAGGGAGTGCAAGTATAAGGGAGAAAACAAAAAGTTACACAAGGTGGACTTGCTTTACCCAGCTGGGCTTACAAAACATCTGATATTTTGGTTGAAATTGTTGTTAATCACTACATTTTTCAATCACAGTGGAAAAAAAAAGTATTTTAAGCAGGAAGAGTTATTTAGAGGGACAGGGGAAAATTACATGACAGCTTATCTTCTCTTTTTTGGTCCTTTTCTGAAGAGCTGCTTGGTTTTCATCTTCATAAACTATCATGTTTTCTGTGTTACAGTCAAGTAAGATTAAGAAGGGAAGCAAAGGAGACTGCACTGTACTTAAGCCTACACTGATGGCAGCTGTGCCTGTAAGTATGCAGATATTTGAAGCAAAAACAGTGCTTTCTAAGTCGTTCATGCTAGCAGGTGTATTTAAGGACTTTTTTTTTTTGTGTAAGAAAGTGTTACTAATAGGCAAGAAAGCAAAATATAGAAATTCCAATTGTCATTGCTTGAGTTGGAGAACTGATGCTGCAGATGAGCACAAGAATACCCCTATGCTAAAGCCAAGACTCTTTTTGATCCAAAACTGTAAATGCTTTTTAGTAGTTACAGGTGATGTTGTACTGGGCTTCTGGTGCAACAGTAGGTTACTGGGAGTCTTTGACGTTCACAGTCTGAAAGTTCTTTTCACTTATGGAAGAGGGTGGATTCATCTAACACTGATGCTTTAAACATATCAGTTTTGGCTGAGTTACAGAACTTAGCAAGTGAAGCTGCACTGTTACAGCTGTTGGGGTGCTTGCTTTTAGCTGCTTGTCTCCAGGGTAACACCTGGCAAAATGTCTTCTGTTCTTGGAGTAAGTAGGGCCAGCTTAGTCTCCTCTTGTAAGAAAAAGTGATTGGGAGACCATAAATATTGTTTCTGTAGCTTACATTAGCTTTCAGGCTTCTCTCTACCACAAGGTCTTGGAAGACCAAAACAAAACAAACCCCACCTAAATGAAACAAAACAACAAAAATCACACATATCTGCTGCTTTCTGCTGAAGAAAAACCTTCTTCACCTGCCCTGGAATTACATTATTGTGTTTACCTCTTTCTTGATTCTATCCCATATGGCTCAGAAGACCAGAAGCATCAGCTTCTGCTACATTGGTGGGTGTGATGGAAGGAGAAGGGTTTGGTTTCATCTAGTAATAGCAAGTTCTGATTGATCTGAGATTCTGTTGTTCTGCAGCCTCCTCTGTGAATAGCCAGGAGCTTTAAAATCAATTACTAATTTGCATTTTTTGTTTTTAAAAATAGAAATAATATACAGAGACTAGGTATTTTTCTTAGTAGTCCACTGAGTGATAACCAATGACTTACAGCCCCGTCGTTTTTGTAAAATGGCTATTTAAACTTATTTCTTAGGGAATACTCAACTCTTGACTGCTAGCAAAAGCAATGCCAATTTAAAATATGGGCATTATCCCCTTAATCCCCTTTTGGGAGCAATCTGCAAAAAGCACATGCCAAAAAAAAAAACATCCACGCAGACACCTTCACATGAATTAATTGCAGAATGGTCAAATAGTGATAATGCTGACCCCCACCTAAGGTTCCAGAGACTCACTATCACAAAGAAATTAGAGTAAAAAAAGGAAATTGAAACTACTGATCCATTTTCAGTTGCTAGCATATAGGATCTGGAGCCCAACAATCAACAGCAGGGAGGAGAAACCTTCAGAATGCCCTGGGGAGAAAAATGCTACGCTACTTACATCCACCTCATAAATATTTCACTTTCTAGAAGTATTATACTGTCATCAAAATATCATAACATCACTAGTGATGAAAATTTATAAGGAATGAAATAGAAAGTAATTATAGGCACAAATTCATCTAAATATTTGATTCAGTTAGAATGTGCTCGTAGTTCCTTCTGGCCTTTGTAATTCTGAATACCTTGTCATGCCATTGCAGGCTTTCCAAAAAGCTAAACCTAAATTCAACATTTTATAAATCAGTTCTTCATATTTTAGGTACAGATTGAGGTGTTACTGATAATGTAAATAATAAAACCCAAGATTTGTAGCTGTGATTGATAGAGAAGACATCTTAAGAGCAAAGGGTATGAAGTATTTTAAAACCAAATCTGGTGCTCAGAAAGCTGTTTGCAGAAATGCAAGTGGTACTGTGGATTGCTGCAGTATGTCTGGAGATCTAAAGTGGTTCTCAGTTGTTTGCCCTTGACTTACACATCTGCCTACGTTTGCTAACCTAAGCTATGTAGTGCAGCGTGAGGGCCCTTCCTTTCTAGTGATGCTGTTGGCGACATAAGCAAATAGAGAAAAGTCAGGATAAGTCCCTCATTTTTCTGCTGCATTTTTGACACTTCATTTCACCCATTTCAAATAGCTCCAGGCTGCAATGATCTATAAATTGGCTAATTGATAACATATTAAAAGCATTAGAGTTAAGCATTGCCTAACCAACGATGCAGGTATTTTTCATTCATGCTGTGTTACTCATTTAAAAGGAAGAATAATAGTTTTGGGGTTTTTTTTTTAATTATTATTTTTAGCATGGAATTTTACTCTTTGTGGTAATTTTCATTGCTTTTTTTAACACTTTATAGGAAATAATGGACAGAATTTATAAAAACGTCATGAGTAAAGTTCAGGAGATGAACTATATTCAGAGAACTCTGTTCAAGATAGGCTATGACTACAAATTGGAACAAATCAAAAGAGGATACGATGCACCTCTGTGTAACATGTAAGTATGATTCATGGCCCAACTGCACTTTTTTCATTGTGATTTGTTAAAGCAGACTAAAAGAATAATCATCTAAGCTATCCAACATCAGACAGTTCTATTCCAGCACGCAAACATGATCTAATGACTAAACTGAAATAAACCAAGTTCTTGCAGGAAACGGAGGAGATATTTAATGGTAATCATTGAATCACAGACTGTGGGAAGGAACACTCAAAGATCACTGAGTCCAACCACTGGCTCCACGTAGGACTATCCAAACCCTATGTCTGAGGTCATTGTTCAAACACTCCTCAAAGTGCAGCAGCTCAGGGCTGTGCCCCACAGCCTCTGGTGAAGAATCCTTTCCTAACACCCAGCCTGACCCTCACCCAGAAGTGCACCTGCTGCTCAAGGGGAGGCCACAGCAGTGTGGAGCAGGGCAGGGCAATCCTTTCCCTTGCCTGGCTGGCAGCACTGGGCCTGGTTGCACCCTCAGGTATGGTTGGCCCTTCTGGCTGTCGGGTCACACTGCTGGCTCACATTTAACGTGCTCCCAACAAGAGGCCCCCAGATCCTTTTGCGTAGGGCTGCTCTGTTGCTTAAGAATGACTGGTTTCCTGTAAGAGTGATTAGTTTAGGAGTGATTGGTCTCCAGGGTGAATGATTAATCTCCAGTAAGAATGACAAGTCTTCTGACCACATGACTAGTTAGTTTTCATTGGATTTCATTTTTGTTTATAGAATTGAAAACTTTATTTATGTAAGTTGTAGGAATTCTGCAGTCTTCAAACATCAGACAAGAAGTAAGGTTTTCAATTATCCCTGCTCTCTGCTAAAATCTATGAACAATATTTTTGAGGTTTTGCAGATAGGAAGGATTGCCTTTATTTCTTTTCATAAAAGTGAGCAGAGTGACTGATCCTTAACATACGTTTTCCCCTCTTTACAGACTTTTGTTTAAAAAAGTAAAGGCGCTGCTAGGAGGGAACATCCGTATGATGCTTTCCGGAGGAGCCCCTCTGTCACCCCAAACACAAAGATTCATGAATATCTGTTTTTGCTGTCCTGTGGGCCAAGGCTATGGATTAACAGAAACATGTGGAGCTGGAACAATTACAGAAGGTAGTTAAAATATTTCTGGAAGTATGTTTTAAGAGTTTTTTAGAAGGTAAATTCAGAATAGCTGTGGCTCTCAACTGCATTAAAGTCACTTGAGATAAGCTATCTTCAAAGATGTGGTTTAAGTTTATACTTCAAAATGAAAAAAAAACTTTGTTTTTCTTTGTTCTTTCCCTAAGTTGCTGATTATAGCACTGGAAGAGTTGGAGCTCCTCTTATTTGCTGTGAAATCAGATTGAGAGACTGGCAAGAAGGTAAGAGCATCTGATGCTTTGAGTTCAGAGCAAGTAGTTAAGTAATTTTACCAGTGCTTAGCTGGTTTCCTTGCCTATCTGCTTAGCTAAGTTGTAGCTCATGAAGAAATTGTTCACCTTTGATAGCAGTCATTAGTTTGTGCATGAATTTTAAGCTGAAGTATCAAAACATTTTCTTAGCAGCAGAATATATAATTTGAAAATAATTGTATGGGGATTTTTTTTTTCAGGGGGCTATACTAACAGAGACAAACCTAATCCCAGGGGGGAAATTATAATTGGTGGACCTAATGTCTCAATGGGATATTTTAAAAATGAAGAGAAAACAGCAGAAGATTTCACCACTGATGAGAATGGTCAGAGATGGTTTTGCACCGGAGATATAGGAGAATTCCATCCAGATGGGTGTCTGCAGATCATAGGTTGGCCTCACCTCTTGCTATCTCAAACTACTGTAAGATCTTGACTAGCCACAACTGTAAGGATGTGATTAGTCCTGTTGACTTTGACAGGACCAATATACCTAGGATTACCTGCTTGCAAAATCCTAGCATAAGACTTTTCCAGAAGTCTTCACAGCTATGAGAAAATTTTGGAAGTGATGCCATTCCCTGCTATGTTATCACTATTTAATTCATGTGTGCTAATGAATAAATGTAAGATCATTTTTTGGTATTTTATACAAAACTTAAAAATCAGAATCTCGGTCAGGTTGCATGACAAGAAGCGTAATGTTATGTAAACTTCACAGCAGAAGCCTTTATAAAGTTACAAGAATATGTATATGCTATTAGCATCTTTATAATGTAGGTAAAATGCTTTACTCATTTTTATTCACTTTTACATGCATACCACTAGATACATATATAGTGGCTTTGCAGATGAGTCTGTGGAAACGTTTAAATGGAGTAAGCACACTTTTTTTTTCTTCTCCCCCCCCCCACTCCTAGATCGTAAAAAAGACTTGGTAAAGCTACAAGCTGGGGAATACGTGTCTCTGGGCAAAGTAGAGGCAGCACTGAAGAACTGTTCATTGATTGATAATATCTGTGCTTATGCCAAAAGGTAAGAGTAGTATTAACTTTGTGTAACTGAAATACAAGCTGTGACTTACTTCTATACTGATATAGTATGGTTTTCATTGAACAAAAGCCCACACCAGAGCATGAGCTATAAGTAGCACCTCTAAAGTAACATACATAGGCTTCAAGATTCCCTGAAACTGAAAAAAGTCACTTATGCTTTTCTGTTGGCAATTCTTCTATTGTAGGTCAATCTAGTTTTGTCCCACCCCCACCCTTAACAGGTTTAATTTAGCATCTGCTTTGGCTTTCTGTCAGAATATGAAGGAAAATTCATCTAGATGTTCTGCGCCAGAACTAAATCTCTGAGTTTTGGAAGTAGCCAAATAGCCCAGGAGTCTCCTCTCCCCCTGCTGATACACACTACATGAAGGGAAACTGCAGAGAACTTGTGAAACACAAGATATAGCTGGAAAGCTAAATTATACTGTAGTTTCTTAGATCCTGAGCTTTGATAAGTCCTAAGTTGTAAAAACCCTCAGTAAAAAAAAGGATTTTGTATGCAGGATTAACTGCAGTTCAAGAAGCACTGTGGATCTGTGTATCTATAATCAAGCAAGCATTTTATCCTTGAAATTGAAGCTTCAACTGTTTTTTTCCTTTCCTTCTCTTGCTGTCCTGTGGTAGTGACCAGTCTTATGTGATCAGTTTTGTGGTTCCCAATCAGAAGAAGCTGACGGCATTAGCTGAGCAGAAAGGTATAAGTGGAACCTGGGTTGAAATTTGTAACAATCCTACAATGGAAGCTGAAATACTACAAGAAATTAAGGAGGTGGCAAACAAGAGTAAGTAAAATGCCAATTTTATAGCACTTATTAAGGCAAAAGTTTTCAGTTATCCCCACTGACTGCCCTTCCTTCTTCCTGTTGCCTCAGTCTACCAAAACCTAGAGGAGTTTTAACAGAAAGACCACGTCAAATTCATACCTCTTATTCCAGGAATAGACATACTTTTTGGTCATCTTAACTACTTTCTCTTTATGTTATTAAAAAAAAAAAGCTTTTTTTTTTTCCTAACTAACTTCTAGAGAGAGGTTGTTTGTTTAATGCAGTTAAGATCCAAAAGGTTTAGAAGGGAAGTTAACAAGACATTTGTGGCAAGAAAATTAGTTAAGCAAGACATTTCAAAGCTTTTTTCCATGCAGTGTTGTGTATTACTGCTTAGAACAACTATGACCCTTACGTTTAGAGCAGCTTAAATCCTACTATCCTTCTACAGAGAAAAAAAATGATCCAAAACCTCATCCGTTCTTTATGCAGCCAAAAAAACCCCAAGCTAAATGGGGTCAGGAACCTCTCTAAAGTGCTATGCACCTCATACACGGAAACCATAAAACAGTGTAAGCACACACTAAGCACAAACCTCTCAAACTTGGAGGATTTGCCTTTTGAAACCAAGAAAATTAAATGAAAGGCAGTATCAAATCTTCCCTAAAAATAAATGAATATTTTTTTAGGGACTTGACTGAAGTATGAACACTTTAATCTGCATTATTCCATCATGAACTGAGTAAATAACGTAAAGCATTGCTATACAAAGTCACTGTCTATACATTCTTTTTACTTTCTAGATAGTAGTCTCCCATTTAAAAATAAATGCTTTGAAACTTTTTTTCCAAAATTACCTTAAAGAGACAATTTTGTTTTTTAGCAATACATAATGCACCTTTATCAGGAGCAGACATGGAACTAAACATGAGGAAGCAGGACGTTCCAATACCAGCTTGAAGCTGGAGACAAAGGAGCTCCTGGGGTCAGATGTCCCAGCTGTCCTACATTTACTGCCACCTAGAGGCTGTGCTGCCACAAGTTGTGCTGGAAGTTCACAGAGAAGTCTCATGGGTGCTATTATAGACCTGCATGCAGGACCTGACAGCAAGGTCCGTGCAGTACTGACACATGCAGGAGTTCCCTGCCCCGCTTCTGGCGTAGGGAAAGCTCGCAGGCAGTTATCCATCTCCCCCCTCATACATCCCCAACCTTGTGACAGTAGCTTTGCATCTTCATGGTACACACCTATTTCTTTCAAGTTTTAGATTTTATGCTCTCACATCCAATACAAGGTATAAATACAGTATGTTACTAGAATATCTGCATGCTGTAATATTAACACTGAGCTTTGGTACACAGATTTGTGTACCGTCTTTTAGGTTACCTCATCAAGTAGGTCACCATATTATGTACTACAGAGTACTTGCCTTAGATTTGTAGGTAGCATGAATGTTTCATTTAACAGTGTTACTCATGCTTTTGTTTCTTGCTGTCCCTGCAGTGAAATTAGAGAGGTTTGAAATACCCATCAAAGTGCGGTTAAGCCCTGAACCATGGACTCCAGAGACTGGGTTAGTAACAGATGCTTTCAAGTTGAAAAGGAAAGAACTGAAAAACCATTACCTCAACGACATCGAAAGAATGTACGGAGGCAAATAAACAGGCTGAATTGACTAGACAGTTGTGCAGAAGGTTCTTTATCATGCCTTGATTTTGGATGTCCTTGTATACTGTAGGTATCACATGTATTCAGAAAATACACCAAATTGATGAATGTTTCTTATCTCTAAACAGAGCAACAGAGAAGATCTTAAACTCTAAATTCCTACTTAATAGTAGAAAATGTTGATGTGTTTCAGAGTTTCATGTGATTGTTTCCAGTTTTAAGACAGACATAATTACATGAAGCAGTATGGCCAGGTAATTTTATTATTCTTTCTCTAGCACGTTCAGACTACTTGCAATTTCTCTCTGATTCATTGTGAAATCTGGTGTGTAGAGAGAAAATGGGTACTTAAACGTTAACTTTCTCCATTTAAAAATAAAAAAGACCTTAGTCAAGAACTTGCTAGAGATCACTAATAAATGGACTGCTTAAAAATTGATGGATTTTTCTGCACATCAGTTATCTTCAATATTTACAGTGCCTATAAGAGAATATAAAATACACTTACCTTAAATAAAGGTGAACTGAAAATCTTTCTAAAGAAAAGTCATTTGAAAACATCACTCGAGTATTGAGTCAACTATCTCAAGTTCCACTCACCAAATACATTTATACTTGCTGCCACATTTTAATTCCAGCAGAGCTTTCCACTGGGACATAGCTTGAAAGAAAACAAAGACTTGCCTTGCTGCAGGAGGTACTGATGAAAATGAACAGCTGAATGCAGAATGCAAAATCTACATTCTGGCTGGCAGATAACAGCAAAATTGATGGGCAGTTGTCTCTGAACAGATTTGAAACTCAAAGGAGAATTTGTTCTTTTCATTTTGGAGGTGGCATGGTGGTTTTATTTTAAAGGCACTGATCCTCTAGGCCTTTGCATACATGTGAGTAACAGTACAAGTTACCTCCATGTAGTTTACAGGATCAGGGTCTAAGTATTTGTAGTTACTTTATGGAAAGGTATTTCTGTTCACCTTTTAAAATACAGCATCCAAAACAAAGCCAACCAGAAACCAATAGCAGTTTCTCTGTGTCTTGTTTTACTTATGACAAAGTATGCTGTGGCTGGGAAGACTTTTGTTTTAAGGAACTAAAAAAAAGGGACAAATCACTTTATATAGAAATCCTTATTAAAAAGTGTTCTTATGTTAACTGGAAATTGTAGATGTGCTGAAGTGGGAGGTTATAATTTAATAACAGTTTATCATTTTGTGTGCAGCATCCAGTATTGTGTTTCCTTTGACTTGTAGTAACTGAGCTCCCACATCCCTGCTAGCTCTTCACACTTGAACCACAAACGCTGTAAAAAAGTGGAGACTCTTGATACTGTTCTACTTTGCACTTTTCTTTATCGTATGTGTTGCGTTCATTTTGTACAGGTGTGGCTCAGCTGCTATATATTACAAATTCATTTTAAGTATTTATAGATTTCTTCTATTCCTAATGTGTTGTGTATATGATGGCTAAAAAGGAAAATTATTTGTTATTGTCACTGTACAGAAAGTAAAAGGTTTTGTATGATGCTTCTTTTAACATACTGGCACATCTGTGGGTTCATGAAGGCAGGAATTACTTTCCCTTCTAGTTGCAGCTTTCCAAGTGACTCAGTTCTGGGGCTACGTTAGCAGCCTCCCATGTTTCAAACCAGTCACTGTTGCATAACCTTTAGGCAGCCTGTTAGCATCACAGAAGTTAGATATGTAAGAAAGTTACTTGCACTCGAGTCTGTCAGCAAGTTGTATGATTTCCTTTTTTTAAACCATGAATGTATTTATATGAAATGTATTTTATCTTGACTCCTGCTATCTTCTGTGTCTCAGCTGACTGAGGATTGCTATTTTCAATGTATATATACACACCACGCTGACATTTCAAAAACGGAATACAGTTGAAATGGTTAACCAAGTTTGTGTTTCTGGAGTGTATTGCATGTTGTTTCCAGTTAATGGTCAGCACATCCCATTCTCTTTGCAATGGAGCATACCCTAACAAAAGGGCTTAGCAGAAGCAGCAGCTCAGAAGAACATACCCAAAGGTAAAAAAAGAACCCTGCCTGATGTAGCATGTGCTGCAAAAGGATTCGTACACATCAGCTTCTCGGGTGTTTTTGGAGAAGGGGAAAAAAAGCAAGGGAGGGATTACACTAGGCTCGCTTCAATTGTAGCATGGAGGTGATTTGCAAATACAGTACTTGCATTTTGGTAAAAACTCCTTCTAATTCTCAAATCCTTTTGTGACAAAGCTTGCAGAGAAGTGAGGAATGGCCTGTGACAAACCTAATTAGCCTCAGCTACATCTAATGTCACCCCAACAGAGTGGGAAAGGAGCTGTCTCCAGGGGACAGGAAGGAGAAACAAAAAAAGCAAGCTTACACCAAGGTCTTTTAGGAGTCAAAACACAGGACACTTTGAAAATAAACCCAGAACTTTAAAATAATTCCTTATTAAATACTGAACTGGTTGCTCAGGATCACCGCCACTTATATCTCTACAACATCAGAATCAAAGGTTTAACAAACACCTTTCAAGGACGGCTTTAACACAGAACTTCAGGTAAGAGCTGGGGGCAGAGATTCGCTTCCTGTACAAATGCAGCAGGTGCCCTTAATTGGCTTAGCATAAACAGGGAAAGTGATGGCTATTCCCTTAAGAGCAGGTTAAGTGGTGTTTAGCCAGCCCAGGTAAGCCAACACACAGAGCCCCAGTTCCCACCAAAGGCTTCCTGAGCTGCATGCATAGCACAGGACACATTCTGAGATCACGGGTCATCAGTTCTGTCAGAACCAAACCAACACTCCCCCACCTCCTAGAATGACTGTTTCTGGTAACCACACTGCTCTAATGATGGATTAGTCATGTTCTGCAACTACAGGCAATCAAAAAATAAATTCTGGTCACGTATTTAAGGAGCCTGCCTGTTAGCTAAGTGCTATTTACATGAGAAATGAGCTTCCATTTCATAGGCTAAAATTTAAACACAAGAAACTAAAAAAGACAACAAAAATGATACAAACAACAACATTCCAATGCTGCTTTTGCATAAAATGCCACAAAGGTGGTTTACAAAGTGCAATTCATAAAGCTTGCAGCCACTATTTACATGGAATGCTTAAAGCTGGGCTCAGGTATTTGACACCATTGCAAAGATACTTGGATTGATGAACAGAGCACTTTCCCAGTTAACTCAGAGCTGCTGCACAGTGGGTCATTGGTTGGTTTATTTGTTTGTATTTAACATGATGGGGTCACATTGGCCATGGAGGAATAGGGCTGACCACGCTAAAGCATGTTTGTTGTTGGACCATCATCATCACTTCACTTGATTTGAACGAGTGCTGGCAGCAGAGGGGTGCTTCATCTCTGCGCTGCTTTTTTTGCTGGGAGCTGCAGCACCTGCTACATCTGTACTGGGGAGGAGAGATGTCTGGAAGAAAAATTAGACCTGGTCTATGGTGTACACTGACCAAAACAAGTGTTCTAATGAAGCACGCAGCAAATTACCCCAGGTAATTTGTCAAAGTCTGCATTTACTTTGAGATGTTAGCCTTGACATGAGGCCAATGCCAATTAAAGTAAACAAAGTAAGCTCTGGGGCATGCCGATCCTCAGAGCCCTCACACTTTTAAAGAAAAGAAGCAAATACTCCAACAACAGAGCAGTACAAAACGAAAACTGTTGAATTTTCCATTTGTTCTCCAATTTTGAACCACTGCTACCAGTAAACTGCTGAGCCTACATAGGAACTAAGCCCAGAAGCGTCTGCAACGAGTCTCACACCACACTGGCACCTCATAGCAGAGCCCCAGGAGGTATTGCTGGGTTGTGTTTGTTTGAGATGTGGTATCTAACCTACCTTTTCCTGTTGGCCACGGATCAGTTTGTTACTGATGGTTCCCCCCCATAGAGTGGGCATGAAGAATAGGAATACTGTTCTCCCCAGCTGCCTGCTCTACTTTACTTTTTGTCCTTGGAGTCAAAGCAAACCCATTCATTTGCTCTTGCAGTTCTAAATGGTTCTGCACAATGAAATCAAGCACCTTGTTTCTACTTGCAGCAGAAATGACTGCCTATGGCACACCTCCCTTCGGTCCTGATGAAGTGGGATGCCTGCACAGCCCTAACCCAAGTGTGGCTCTGAAGGGACGTGGTTTTGTAAAAGGGCTCTGCAGAGAAAATCAAAACGGGGCACCTACACACACAGCAGGAACACAAAGCTGACCATATACGGACGGGCTGTGCTCCTGTAACACAACTGCCACAGCCACCTGTGCGCACAGCAGCCACTGAGCTCAGACAGCAATGGGATGGGCCAGCTATGAACATGGACACGTGAGGAATTCATACGGGAATTCAAAATCCACAGCCGTGGGCACAGAGCCCCGAGGAGAAAAGAGTGAAAGGCCTGCTTGTGTCACAGCCTCGGTCCCTCCCTCTCCACCACACAGGCAGGGAGCAGATCAACACCAGCCCACCGATACTCAACACTCAAGCCCTCCAGGTCAAGCAACAGTCCCTACAGTTAATTACTGCCTGAATTACTCCAATTCTGCCGTATCTGAACTGCTCTCCTTCCAGCTGAATCTTTCAAATGCATTACGTTTTCCTTTCTAGAGCAAGGATACGCATTTGACTGAGCTGTGCTCTAGCACGTACCCTCCCAAACACGCTCCCAGCACCACGCTCCGCTCTGCGTGCCAGCGCTGCAGGGAGGACCCACAGCAGTAACGGGCAGAGGGAGGCAGAGCCCCGCGGCTCCGGGCGGAGCCTCAGCCTTCTCACAGCACCGTTTCTCCCCGAGCTCCGGGCGGATCGGCGCGTCGCTGCCGGAGCTCGGCGCAGCCCGCAGTGTCACAGCCGCTGCGCTCCGCTCAATGAACTGCAGCGAGGCGCGGCGGCTGCAGGCGCTGCTGGGCGCGGTGCTGCGGGAGCTGCGCCGCGGAGCCAACGCCAGCGCGGCCGCCGCCGAGCCCGGGGCTGGGGGCGACGCCTCGCTGTACATCCTGCTCATCATGATCTTCTACGGCTGCCTGGCCGGGGGGCTCATCCTGGCCTACACCCGCTCGCGGAAGCTGGAGTCCAAGCACGACCCCTACCACCTCTACATCGAGCGCGACTGGGGCCGCGGCGGCCCGGGTCAGGCGGCCGAGGAGGGCGGAGCGGCAGAGGAGGAGCGGCCGCTGTGAGCCCGGCACGGCGGATGGCGGTCCTGCGCCCTGCAGCCGGGGGCCGAGCAACGCTTTCCGCAATAAGCGCCCGTGCTGCCGTGCGCCTGGAGAGCTCTCATCGCTTAGCCTTACATCTACAGACATCCCTCCTTCAAATCGGCGCGCGTCGCCGTTCTCTCACCGCACCGCTGCCATGCTATCGGCCGCTCCGTGCTTTCTGACAGCGAAGCTACAGTTCTAAAGCCCTTCCTCAACTTGGCAGCTGCTGCGTCTCGCTGCCTCTGCAGTAACGTTGCTGGGAATGGCCGTACGTTGGCTGCACGAGGTGAAGAGGGGTTTTGTTTGTTTTTACAAAAACCCTGAAATTACAGGAGCTGCACATCATGAACCACTGCACCAGGACTGCAGCAGCAGGGCCTCAGTCACATCAGATCTTCCACAAGGATTTCCTTCAACGCAATCAGAATTAAGCTGACTACAACCAATGTTCTCCCATTGTGAAGAGGGAATTATGACACATCCAAACCCTTTTCAGTCCTGTCCCAGTGTCCACCAGCAAGACCACGGCCTCCACAAAGCATTACAGACCAACAGCTCAGAAAGTACTGCAGGCCACTGACCTCAGCTGTGTTGGGCAAAGATAGGGAAGGGGCTGTCACTATTTTCCATATGAGACTCGCACACACTGACCTGGCACATCCGACCTGCACGCAGCCTGGCACAGCCCGTCCTACGCCTGCCCCCAGCCCCGTGCCGTATGGCAGCAGCTCTCACACTGAGCAGCCTGGTGGGAATCAGCAATTCATCTCTGCAACTCCATTCTCAGTTGATGTAAATCCATTACCTGGGAATTTTCAAAAGAAATGTACAGAGCTGCAATCAGGCATTCAGCTCAAAAACACAACCTTTACTTTTATTTTAAGCCTTCTGTTACCGGAGAAAAACATCCCTCATCCACCATCACACCTCGTTCATTGCTTTTTGACAGTACGCGAACAGCCGCTTCCAAGGAGGAAGCACAGGAGTAAAACTTCATCAGAAATCTGACCAACACCACGAGAGCCACTGCCACGGAACTGAGCTGACAGGCTGCTCTCACAAAAACAAGGTCACACAGCCCATTTGTTTTATGGTTTTGTTGCTTTAAAAAAAAAAAATTACAATTAAAATATTAAAAGTTAAAATAAGTTTTGTTACTTGTGTACATTGACTATAGTATATATTTTACACGGGCTGCTCTGAAAGTAATGCCTCCTATTTTATGACACTGGTCCACAACAGAGGCAGCAGTGGTGGGATGGCAGCAGAGGCTGAACCTTCCCAGCAGCATCTCATTACATGTTGTTGCCATGTGGCAGAAGGCAGCAGAGGGGCAGTCTGACATGGTGGTGTCTGACGTGAGGTGGGATGAAGCAAAGGGGTGGAATTGACTTCCTCCATGAATGTCAGCTGCCATTCATCGCTGCTCACTGCATGTTTCCAGAGAGCACACAGCAGTGTGAGCACAGCGAGGGGTGGGAGCTGCGTTGCAGCAGTGGTGCACCTCCACCAGTGCAGATTTTGATGAGCATGCAGGCTCTTGTTCATTGTTGGTGAAAACACAGCTGATGAAAAACAGTGCTTTGTAGGTGAGAGTTTGCTCTATCAAGCAGTTATGTGCTCTTTGCATCTGTTGTTGCTTCTATGGAAATAATGAGGAGGCACTACTTTCAGAGACCTACGTATACGTGGCCCAATGCAAC